GCCAAAGATGAAAAGAAATATCACCATTGTGGTAGCTTCTTCCCTCATGTCTGTTCTTCTTCCTCCTCCAGGCTTTTCAGAAACAGCAGTAGTAATGATATGTAATTGGAAGAAATAGAAATTCATCATACAAATGTCATGTATAGGTTATTCCAGGGTGTTTCTGATCGGCTGGATGTATGGTAGTTGTGGTCAGTTAGTGCTAATAAGGCAGCATATGACATGTTTTACAGTGTAAAACTGCTACTAACTTACATCACATGAAAGTTTGCCTTTTGTTTTGACCGCTGTGAAATGTGAAATACTTACAGGATGAATCAATTATCTGCCATGTGTTAGGTACAGGAAGTACTTTCCCTAATATTATTTAAGGGGGTGTATATATCAATGAAGAAACCATCTCACTGTAAAACTGCTCTGTTTCCCGGTCTCACTTCAGAGCCTCTGTCTATAGACTCCTCACCTCCTATCTTAATTTCAGATGAAGATTTATAGGACTAATGCACATATATACAGTGACCAGCAATACCTTGTGGTTCATGAAAATTATGTGATTACAATATGAGTGAGTACACAGACTGTAGCAAAATGTTACCCATGGAAAAGAGTGAGTGCACTTGTGACAGCCTCTTTATGTATCTCTTTCCATGGTATGGTAACTCTTTCCATGCCTTTGGCTAATTGTCATTAGGAGAAGTTTGCAGCTGTTGCAGCATGTTTCTCATTGCTAACTCAGAGACCCACTGTATCTAATCTGTCATTAAAATAGCAGTAAGTTGTATCTACACATTTTCTAAGAATACATACAAGTTTTAGGGGGCAAATGAGCTGGTAATAGAAACATGAGGATATTTTCAAGGGTCGAGCTAGATTTTGTATATCAGTAATTATTGTTTTGATCTAGCATCACAGTTCTTTCATTTTGAAGCTTCATATTTTTTTAGGGCATGTAAACACTAATCTTTTGATGAAAATAGTTAACATGCCAGCCAACATGATACGAGGAATCAGCAGTATTCAGGACAATGCAATTCACTGATTTTCCTAAAAATAACCTTCATATACCAAATTTTCTTCTTTAATGTTGGTATGCCCAGTTTTATCCTATGAAAAGTTGCAAATCTATATTTGACAGGAGTCTAGGCCTACAGCTTGATGATGTTCATTTTTGCAGTCACAGAAATCTAGACAAGTCATGGTCCTTTCCCCAAAAGCAAATATACTCTAAAATACTCACAAAAGACTAGTTATGGTATAAAGAATTATAGGAATGAGTGTTGTGATGTGAAATATTAAAAGCAAAGTCAGAGGCTGAAAGGTCAGTAAAACTTGTTGCGCAGGTGAAGATAATCCAAACATTCAACTCCCAAGACATTTTCGGTCTCAAATTTTGTTTAGTTCTGCTCTGATTTTGAGTCTTTTGGATACTGAAATTAAGAACAAAAGTGAGGAACTTCTAAAGAGAGAATGGGTTAAAGGCAATATTCATTGATACAGCTCTTTTGGACAGAGGGAGACTGAAGATACATTGCCTTGCTAATCTCCCTGTGAGAGGGGAGTCTTGCCTCTGGCTACGCAGAAAGGGTAATCTAAATTTTTTGTGAGTAGACATACTGTACAAATTATGAGAAATGAAATCTTCTGCAAGCCCTTCATCACACTTGCAGTGTGATGCTCTAATTTATACATTTTTATTGTGGAATAGTTTGTCCTAAGGTAAGACTGTATCTAGGATCCACTGTAAAGCATCCTTTTATCATCTGTGGAATCTGAACATTGATAGAATTACTCTGAAATAATGGGAAAATATTTCTGCAATATTTAAAGAAAAATGCAAATAGATTTCAGTTGCATGTCATTAATTAATAATCAGTGATTTTTGCAAATATTACTTCCATGTGCGAACCCTACAATTCACCTGTCTAGCCGAGAGGTTTTCTGCCTTTGTCCCAAAAGATTCAACTTGTGATTTATTTTTCTTATTCTTTTTTCCCCCTTGTCCTTTGCTGGCGTATTTGAGACATTGACTTCATGTCTGAAGAATAATTTTGTGCCTCTGATGGAAAATAAAAATGAGTTCTTAAGGCTGTTTGTTAATGACTGGTTTTCTGCATTCTCCATGAAGTTCTGCTTTTCCAGCGTCCTGACACCAAAATCAAAGGTGTTTCCACTCATTTGCAGCTTCATTCTGCCAGTCTTTTTGACATTCACAGCTGTGCAAGAGCTCTTTGAATATCTAGTAGTCCTTTTAAATTTTCTTGGAAAATTGTCAGTTTCTACTACATCAGGAATTACCATACAGAAAGATGATATTCGTATGCCAGTATCGCGTGAGTCATGCTGGCATACTCTAAAACTAGTGCTTCTTCCTTGTCTCACCCTCCTTTGTAGTCTGTAGGGGCTTCTTTGTATCATTTCTGCAAGTCAGAATGATACATTACACCTCAGAGGGAAAGGGGTGTTCTGAAACCTCACGTCATCTGCTACCTAAATAGCTGCAGGCAGAACTCTTTGCCTTTTTCCCTGGGTATTTGGCACAGGCTTCAGAAACTCTGCATCACTGCTTAGTTGTAGAACTGATAGGAGGGAGTGCAAAAGTGGCCCCCAATTGTTCAAAATATAATACCTTCAATTCTCCAAAATAACATAGTTTTCTTGAGGTATTTCCTTATTCATTAGGACTGATTATAGAAAATATCAAACCCCCTGCCCTGTCACAGCTCTGCTTTTCTGCCTTCTAATAGGGAAGGAAAAGGGTAATAATCGATATGAAGTGGAGAGTCAGCCATACAGAGCATTCTGAGCATACACAGTGGGAGGAGTGAACAACTCTCAAACAAGTCGAAATCAGATTGTTTACATATTATTCCCTTGCAGAGCAAAGTGAGCATGGTTGTAAATCTTACATATTTCTCAATAAGAATAGTGAAAGTAGTCCTGTCCTATCTGAGAACTCTTCAAAATGAAGGAAAATTTAAGGCAGGAATAAGTGAAAGATTGATGTCTACAACTAAATTAATAAAGAAGATGACCAAGATAGAAATAATTTACATAAGAATTTCAAAATTGGTAATTTTTTTTCATGGCTTGGGGTTTACTACTCCTTCCACCTCAGTGAACACCAGGTCAAATTTCAGGAAAGCCACTACTGCTGTGGAGAACAGACTCCAAAGGACTTTCTGTGTTCTATAAAATGGACTCTGAGTTTTCTTCTACTGCATTATTAGTATACACCAATGATTCCTTCTCAGATCTTACAGTTCTGACTCTCATTCATTCCCTTTCATATCTGCAGTGATAAATGCCGTGTAGATCTGAAGTGCAGATTCTGGATAAAGCTACAAAATATCCAGTTTATCATAGCTTATTCTTTTGATGCAACCTGTAGAATTGAATTGGCGAGACTGAAGAGAAGTGTGTCTCCAGTTTATGAAGAATAACATGATCTCAAGGAAACAGTGGATTTTGTCTAGCCAACATGCATCTACAAACTCAGTAGTAATAGAAGATCTGAGCATTTAAATGGCGTTGTGTATTTTAAGAGCTCCAAAACAGTTTGTCTCTTCAGATTCAAGAACACCAGAAGATATATTAATAATGCCAGCCAGAAGAACTTGTTTCTTCATCCTGAATTCCATCTTTGTGGCTTAGGAACATGTCCCTGCCAAAGGATGACCAAATAACTTTATCTCTGCTCCTGCTGTCTCTAACTGAGGCAAATACACTCCAAAATCAGATTGGTTCTTCTTCTAGAATCTGGAGATCCCTCTATCCTGCCTCTTTGTCATCTTTTCAGAGTGAGGTTGGAAAATGCAAATTTACCATCTTCAAGGCATCATTCCAATTCCACTAGCTAGTAATTATTTTTCATCATCCTCAAAGTACAAAAAAAGGAAGAGGAGACTTTGTTCTAGAATGCACCTTGGCACATTTGAAGCTTATTACTTGGGAAGCCAATTTCTTTTTGGATGGTCATTCAAGAAATTGCCAGAGTCCTTTTTCTTTCTCTCGACCTTAAAGCACATAATTGATACTGAACATTCCTGATATTTGAAGGTAACGACCTCTTCAGAACCTTTTGGTCTTTCCTTCACTACTTGAGATTTTAGAATACCAGCATCTAATTGCAGTTAGCTACTTCAATTCATTCATACTTGTCTTGGGTCACATGTTAGTTAGAAGATAATGAGAAGATGCAGGTATGAAAAAACTGGACAGGTTCTTTAAGAAAGACAAACTAAATTGAAAAGCACATCAGATTCTTACCTAAATTTCTAGCATTCATTTTTTCCTTTGACAGGATACTTCTTTTCTATGTACTGTGGAGTTCAAAAACGGTGTCCAGATGATCCCCAATACAGAGGAGTTGTAAGACCCTGTAACTTTCACCTGGACATCTCCATAATGCTCAAGCAAGAAAACATTTACTTATTAAAGTGATAGTAGTGGTTGTTCTTTTCATCTTTGACCAAGATGACTACAACTCTTAGTTGAGAAGCAACCATAATCTTGACTACTTCTTAGTGAAGCATACTTTATGTGTTATTTTCCTGGATAATGAGAAATCCTTCTCATTGTTTATCTATTGCAGTCTCTAAGAGAAAAGGCCTTGGGTCTTCCTTTTTCACAGTTCTAATAAGACTTGAGAAAAGATGACAGGATTTTTCTGAAATCCTCCAAATCTGCCACCTTTCTTCTCTTTCTTATCTGTATTGGAGTGATGGCATGATGGGTACTCATACTGGAGAAAGTTAAAATTAGATTTCCTTAAAATAATTTTATATTCTCTGAATGGGTACCCACTACTCTGTCAGCACCCATTACTTTGGCTAAAATTTCTCCAAGCACAGAAAAGTCTTTTCTTTATGTGAGGATCCTAAATGAATGAAAAGAGAAAGGAAAACGATCAAAGGTTTCAAGTTGATGACTGATTCATTGTTTTGAAACATTTTTTTTCCTGCCTGGATATTGCTCTGCTGTTTTCTAACTTGTTTTTTTAGTTGTCTTATATTCCCTCAGCCGTGGCAGTATTCGTGGAGCCAAGTGTGAGTGTACTACCTCAAAATGCCAGCAGTGGAAGCTGGTAAGCAAGTGGGGAAAAATCACCAGAGGAATCTCTGAAGCTTGGGACAAAGGCAAAAAACACATCAGTACTGCACTAACAGAGCAGCAGGTACCCTTATAGAGAAGGTAAAATTACAGGTAAGGAAATAATTTACATTTCTATTTTGATCTTATCCACATACCTTATTACTCTTCCCTCAAAATCCCAGGAAAAAGTACCCACAAAAAATTTGAAGAAGTATAAGATCTCAGACATGATTAATTTAGACTGCCTGATTTTTTTAGTGGGGATAATGTGAAGTTCAATCTTACCTAATTTATGGAAAAATGTATTAAAATATGAAAATCCTTTATACCTGTAAGGCAATTTAAAACCTCAGTCTAGTTTTAAAACAAGGTTGGTTTTGTTTTTCTTTTTAATTTGTTTTGCTTTTTCATATTTAGAATATAAACACAGCTTGTTATAAGTTTTCCTTTCCAAACCAAAACAAGTGTAGGCTTATTTTTTGGTAAGGGAAGTCAGATAAAGCCAAAACCAGACAGACTCTGTTCCCATCCCTCCATCTCCTTTTACTTTCTTACAGTCGAAAGTGTAGCATGACTCTTTATTATGCTTCAGTTTCCTCATATGGAGAAAGGAAGGAGGTTGTTTTATCTCCCGCTTGGGATAATTAGGTGGAATAAGTGGTATAGAAGAGAAGTAAATTTCATTTATTTAATTAATTGTCTTGCAGTCTTTTATGCCGTCATGCTGCAGTCCCTCTATGGAGTTGTGATCACTGCAAAAACCTCAAGAGGATATATCCTTGTCTGAATTGCTACAGTTATTATCTGTTACAGAAAGTAAAATAAGGTTTATGTTTGTCTTCTTTTAATATAAAATTCTTGTCTGCAAAGAAAATATTTTGTTAAATTAAAACAATTCTACCATAAAGTTAATTTCTCTGCTGAGTTACAGAAACATTGAGAAAGTTAAGGTATGTGCATTGTAGTGGTATAACCTTTTGGAAAACAATAATAATGAAGTGCATTGGAAAGACTAATGAATTGGATTTAGCCTTGACATAACTCATATGTCTTCATCAGCTATTCACTATTACAATTCTCCCAGTTAGCTGTACCAATTAATTTTATTTTGTAAACTCTCCAGTTCAAGGAAATATAAATACAGAACCGTATTTGTTTCATAGCATTTAGATGTGTAGAGATTTTATTTAAGCAAGAAGTTATTAAAGTTATGAGTTTAATCTTGTAATGTATATTTCTAATGATCCTGCAGCATGATATTTAAGTTAAAAACCCTAAAGAAAAAAAAAGAAGAAACTTAAAGAAATTTTGGTGATCTTTTGAGGTGCTGTGCAACCTTTTTCAGAAGCAATCAATATCAGCAGGTCCAAAATCTACCTCAACTATCTGGATAAGGAAGTATCTGTCTGAATTGAATATTGTCTTTTGAAATGTGTCATCTGTTATTTTATGCTGTTTCCTGTAACCTTCTAACTGTAGATATGTCTCTAGTAAAATTCTCCTCAGTTCAGACTTTAAACTTTTAGGGTTTTTTTGTTTGGTTTTTTTTCCTGCTTGTTTTGGTTCTGTTTGTTTTTATTTTAAACATTTATGATAAGAACACACATATCTTTCATTTTAAAGGAATTGTATTCTGAGTTCATGACTCTTTTCTGTATCACAGGTCTATCCATGGACTTATTCTCGAAGAACTTTTCAATTACTGTTTTGTCATACTTAAATATTGCTGATATACTTTCAAACATGAGTCTAATATATCAGTTTCTATTGCTTTTTGGTGACAAATAAGAGTTTGAATTTGAATATGCTTGGGTATTTTTAAAACCATGCACTTTTCGTAAGAGAATTTGTTCTGATTCTGAAATTTGTTTCTTCCTGTTATTTTGTACTTTTCCTTGTAATTTAAAAAAAATTCTATTTATCCCAGTTTTGTTTTCTGTAACTAATTTCATAACAGTGTAGTAGTTGACATGTGTTTGTTTCTTAGGCAAATGTGTAAAACTCCTCAAGGCCGAATGGAGAAGTAGAGAAAGGAGGTTTCTGCTGTGCCTGATGACAATATTTGTTTTTTCCACACAAAAAATATTCTGGCTCCACGTTGGAGCACTAGTTGTGATGAATCCTAGTCTTGGTCGGATTCTAAGGAAGGGCCAGAACGTTCGTTGAGGAATAAAGAGTCACACCACTCCAGAAAATGTGTTCCAGCCCTCGTTTATTACTCACAGAGCAGCAGGTGTGTACAAATACAGGTTTACACGTTATTAACAGGAATTGTTGCATCTTACTCCTCATTGTAGTTGTGCAGTTTGCTGCAGACACTGAGAAACTGTGGCTTATTCAGGCACAGCTTCAGGAGGGTGGTTGGAGAGACTCTGCACTGTGCTCCTAAGTAGCCTCAGTGTATCAGTTAGATGCTTCTCGGTACCTTAAGATATCTTTCTTCCCTCAGTACTCTCAAAGCTAGACCCAGTCACTCAAGTTAGTCACTGTCATGGGAAAACAACAGATGCTCTGGAGAACAGCACTTAGAGAGGAAGGCCATCTCGATACATTCAGTCTGGTGTTGCCTTTGTAGTTGAAAGCTCAGTATTCTATACTGGATTACTTAATTTCAGAAAAAGCAAAGAAAGAGCTATTTTCACTGTATTCCTAAAATGTGCTAGATGTTGTCTGTTTAGTCTTAAAACCATGCTAAAGATGAAGAACCCTGTCATTTACAGGAACATATGCCATGCTCTAAAGTATTTTTGCTTTACCTATTTTTCTAATCCAACCTCTCAGATTCGTTGAAGCAAGTGGAAAGCTCAATTTACATGTGAAAGGTTTCCAAAGACTTTTAGTTTCAATTACAATTTTTAACACTGATTGTCTAGATCTTCACTTTACCACTAAAAATCTCCTGCTGAAATCATTAGGAGCAATGAGAAAATAAGGAGTACAAAGTTATATTTCAAAGGACATTGTATGAAATGAGTTTTCAAAATGTTTCTCTCTTTATAATGGAAGGTCCTAAGCACAAGAATTGTCATGAATACAGTTCTGATTAATCACAATGCAGTAAAAGTATGAAAGAATTAAAAAGGTGTGGAGTCTATGGTTATCAAAGACGTGAAACTTTTGAGACATTGAAGTGTACTGGGTGATGTTCTGTTTAATTACTGAAATGAGCTAATCTTGTTTGCTGAAGGACAGGCCTGAGAATCTGGTTTTCTAAATTGCTCCATTACAGACTTGGGAACATGTTTAGACTAATACTTTACATACTGCAGTGCCTAAAGTAAAGCTAAGGGAGCAGTTTAAAGCTCTTGAGTCTTGACATAAAAAGTTAGGTAAACAGGAATGAAATATTTTGTGACTTGAAAAAGTGTCTTCCAATATGTAACCTTCACTAAAGGTAATTGAATACATAAAGTTATCATTAAATATCTGTTTTATAGACTGCTCACAAATCACTCAATTTTTGCCTTTTTTCCTGAGACCAAGTCAAATAGCCATCTGTAATACTGAAACAAGTAAGGAAACAGGAAAGCCTAATTCATGGTTCTCTACTGGAGGTCCCTTGAAATGGGCTTGAGTCACCTTAATATTTCTCAGTCTTTTGAAACAGTTTCTCCTTCCTCCGGAAGCTTAGTTATCTAGCATGAACACCCAAATCTACACCTACCTACTGTTAAGTGCATATGCATATAGGAGCACTATCGCAGAAAAGTCCTTAACACCTTTTTGTCCAGTTTCCCCAATTCATTAGAAAATAAATTACATGATTCTCCAGCTGTCAGAAAATTGTGAACCTGTCTTTGTTAACATTCGCAAAGTACTTTTGAATATCACCGGTACAAGATAGTAGTTTTAGAACAGAAGCATTTTTCAAGATTATAAGTTACACGGTTTCATTGAATGTGAATGCACAAGTGGCAATGCACTTTGTCATTTGTTTTCATAAGCCACGTGTGAATGATAGTGCATGGCAAAAACACTGTATGAATTTTGAAATTCCAGGAAATAGTGTGCTTCCATCTGTTCAAAAGATTCATTTCCAACATCAACCTCATTCTCAGAAGGCATAAGGGGAAAAAAAGGATTGGCAGATGTTTGTTTCTGGTTATATGGGCCCTTCTGTTTCTGCATGGTAATATTTGCATTAAGTTTTCACTACCAAAACCAAGTTATTGATGTTATGAAAAAATATGACTGATACAGCCCCCTCAAGTTCATTCCATTTGCTAAAGAATCACTTTGTTGACCATTATATTAATTTTTTGTGGTCTTTTAAATACATTACAAGAAAAAATACAGCAATAAGGACACAAAATGGATGGAAATGTACTGCATACAACTAAGGCTGTTTTGGTATGGGATCCCTGTCTTATCTCTATGACTTGGAGGACAATCCACGGCTAGGCATTTCTTCAAGCCGTTCCTTAGTCCTCTTTCCTTAAGCACTTACTTAAGGGATTCATGTGGTATTCCCTGTACTTAGTTTATCTCATGTTGTTCATTAAATAAATTTGTGATACTCTTTTTAATTTTGATTGAAATCTCTATACCATTTTTGTTTCCCACAGGTCTTTAATATTTTAGAGAAGAATGCTAGGGGTGCCAAGATGGCTTTTCTTTGTCTCATGAAATTCCACTTAGCTCAGGGTGAGCTATTAATTGCTTTTACAAAAAATAATTTCCTTTCTCTGTTTTATGTGCCTCAGGAAAGAAAAAAAGAGAAAAAGATAGCTTGAGTATGGTCAGATGACACAGGCTATGAACACACACAATCCTATATGGTTGATGGAACAGTTCTAGTTAGAAAGAAAACCTCTAAGTATTAAGTTCTTTCTGTTTCTTTGGAGAAAACCTTGAAGAGAGAGTCCATCATTCTTCCCATCTATGGAGTGATGAAATGTTGGCTTAAAAATTTGCCCCTTTCTGCATTTTCATTGATACATAGGCCTGATGACATTGTTATAGACTTCCCTCCAAATCTTCTCACCCATTAAATTCTCTTTACTGTGCATGATGGAAAAGAGATAGAATTGCAGTTGCAAGGGCACACATAAAAAGGCAATTTGCTAATGTTCAAGTGCTTGACTTTGCAAACTCAAGAGCCAGTTTTCTATGTGGATTTTATGTATGGTTCACAATAAACATAGAAAAAATTCAAAGAGCTGCCAGTCAAAAAGTTGTAATGTACAAAGTTGTGTTATGAAATGTTATAGCACACACTTAATTTCAATATACCATATATTGGTATCTATTTTCTCCTAACACTATTAAATAATAATTAATTATGGGCCTCATTTGCATGTATAAACTTTTCTGTAGTTTGCAAACTATTAGTGATATATTTCTTTCTCTGAAGAAACAGAAGATTTGTACTATACCTAATTGTGGTTCCATAACTTTGATGCTTTGGTGCACCAAAGTAGGGAAAAGATTTACTATTCAGGGAATATATACTCAGCCATTCTTTACATCCTATAGTCTTTATTTTATCTCCCTTCCTCTTCTTATGAAGAAGGAAGTCTTGAGTAAAAGACTTGTCTGGATTTTTATTGGGAATCTATTCTTATGAAATAGACAGTATTGTCTCATGTATTCATCCACTGTGCGGATTTCACAAGTGAGGACATTTTTCACCCATTGTGAGCAGCATGGGAATGTAAGCTGTCCAAAAAAATTTCTTGAGCTGGTAGCTTTTCTAATGTGGTGCCTTGAGGTCTTTTCATCTCCTTCATCTCCACTCCATTCTGGGTTACCCTGGCAAAAATATTCTACCCAAAGACTGAGTTTGTTCTGAACATTTTGTGAGCAGAAGAATGTAGAAAACTTCAACTGCATTTATATGCATATATATTGTTGAGTTAAAATAAAAAAGTGAGTTCACATGCAATTACAGCCAATTTACAGCAGCCACTTACTAATTTAAATTAAAAAGTCTGCAACTGCAGAGTAATTATACTTTAATTACACATTTAGGACAAGAAAGTGAAGAGAGTCTAACGCAGTGTATTTATGATATAACAACTATGTGAAAAATTTTATTAGCACAAATGGAGTAATTATGTGCCAAAAATAAACAAATTAATTCAGATCATCACCTAGGTTTCATGTACTTTTTTCATTTGTATTGTTAATTCTCCATATATAATAATTATTAACTGAAAACTTGAATAGACTTGATTTGCACCTATTCAGGGTGTTACTGTTTTCTTAGGATTTTAAAGATCAGACACATAGTGTTATTGGTCCCCCTTTTCTATAAAGCCCTTTGGCACAGTACCTTACTACCTTACTTCCCAGACACTTCAACCAAATAGCTTTTACTATATCCAAAATTAAGCATTTCTGGGAATACCATCACTAGGTATTAGCTAAAATTTTATTGCTTCTTTGTGAAAGTGCCTTTACCAACCAAGAGGTTTATTCACTCCCTAATGTGTATGGTGTATGGATATATAACTTCCATTAATGTTAATGTGTAATCTGTGCTTGCACATAACAAGTATTACCATCTCACTTAGGGGCAAGTGTGGACCACTGTATGTGTTACTTGGAGTAGCATTGTGTGACCTGGTGGTTAACAGAACAAAAAAAAAAAAAAAAAGGATGTGGAATAATAAAAATTCTGTTAAGGGAAAGCAGTTAAAAACTCCAATCATGTAATGTAAAAACTAAGAACATGCAGCGCAGCCTGACTTCCTGTACAGTCTGTATAAGCAAAATGACCTTTGTATATGATTAGCCACCTGTTATAATCCAAAGATTTGAATGGCTATCAGATTTTTTCTTATTTATATCACCTATTTAATCTGTGTGACAGTGTATATTGCTTTTATAGTGATATTTTCACCACAGGGTTGTAGAGCTAGATGGGGGAGCAAATAGATCTGGAGATTATGATTTTATGGAGTTTCTTTGTGACTGAAGAGAACACATTTGCACCTCCAAGCAGCCCTGTAACTGAGCAGTCATGTATGTGTAAAAATACTCTTTTTGCTAACTGCAGTTTATCACCTTAGCCAATGCACTGGTAGAGCTGGATGTAATAGAAAAAATGCATCACAGGATAATGAGTTTGGAAGGGAACTCTGGAAGTCCAATCCCCTTGCTCAAGCAGAGCCACCTAGAGCCAGCTGCCCAGGACCAGACAGCTTTTGAATGTCTTCAAGGATGGAGAACCTCCCTGGGCAACCTGTGCTAGTACTCAGTAACGCTCACAGTAAAAAAGTTTTTCCTGAGAGTGAATCTCCCGTGTTTTGGTTTGTTCTCATTGCCCCTTCTCCCGCCACAAGGCACCACTTGAAAACAGTGTGGCTCCATTTTCTTAGCACCCTCCTTTCTTGTGTTTGTACACATTGATGAGATCCCCCCTGAGCCTCCTCTTCTCCTGGCTGAACAGTGCCAGTGCTCTCAGCCTTTCCTCATATGAAGAAGCTCCTGTCCCTTATTTGCCTTAGTGCCTCTTTACTGGATAGATAGATAGATGGATAGATAGATAGATAGATAGATAGATAGATAGATAGATAGATAGATAGATAGATAGATAGATAGATAGATTGATAGATTGATAGGTAGATAGAGATAGACATGTATTGCAAGTGAAGCTGATGAAAATCACCTGCGGATAAGATCAGAAGATGTGTATTTTACATTATGTATCTCAGTGGCATCTGATTCCATGAGTAAAATTCCAGCTTGTTACAATAATGCAAAACATAAATAACAATAAGATGCTGCATCAGCCTTTTGAGCTTTGGTGCAGGACACTGAAATATGTAGCCTGACTTTTAAATTAATTCTTTATTTTTTTTGGCAATCTTCCACTGTAGAAGGGGACACATGAGGCTGTTTCCAACAAGAACAAAGCAAAATAAAAGCAGTGTAATAAATAAGCCCATGTATCATAAAAATCAGAAAGCACGATTTTATTATTGCCTTAAGTGCAGTTCCTAGAAACAACTTGGTGGAGAAGGCAAACTGAAGCAATGAGCTCCTCAAACAGTCTTTTTAGTATTCTGTTCTATATTTTTGCTCTGCAGAGCTGACAAGAGCTGTATGCAAACAGTTTTGCTGAGGGCAAAAGAATGTTTCATCATTAAGGAGCATGACCCTTCTCCCTGTGATCAAAATGAGAAGCATATGCCCCTTGATGTCATAAAGTGTTGTTGCGACCATTCCAATGAGTTGTTCCTCAAGAGTTGGGGAGTTGACACATGACACAATTTGATATTAAACTGTTACATGGTGATTAATTGTATCCACTGACACAGCAGAAATATTCCTCAGTTACATTTCTTTGATATGACAGTTGTTTTTTTCTTTTAGTGTTTAAAATCCAAATCAGACAGAGGGAAAATCCAATTACTGTGAAATGCTTTGTCTCCCACTCTTTCTCTGTGGTCCTTCTGTTTCACTCTTGTTTCATGTTAGGCTGAGTGAAACCACTATAAATTAAATCCTTGGTAATTTTGTACCTTGTGAATAACAGAATCTCTCTCTCTCTCGTTAATGTATGAATGATTTTTGTCCTTTTTCTCCACTAAGTATTTCTCCCCTAAGTATTTATTTGCTGAGATGCATTTAGCCTTTAACAGGACATTGCCTTTTAGAACATAAATGATTCTATGATTGTCCTGTAAAGAAGCATGCAAAGAATGGAAGAATACATTTCCAGTATCAGCCACTGTTACATGCAATAGCTAACATTTTTAAAAGCATAGTTGTTACTATATAGAAGTTTTAACAATAAAAAAAAGAATTACAGAAAACAAAAATTTGTGGGTTGGTAATTTGTAACTTTAAATTTTTTATTATATTTTTAGGCGTGGTCACATTTTGATTTCTCCTTGTCAGATCCAATTCTGACAAAACACTTAAACACATAATTTAAGTTGGGGAGCAATGCCATCTAATACCATTTGTGATTATTCACCTATTTTAAAAACAATTGAAAGCGCTTTGCTGGACAGAGATCTTACATTTCAGTCTCATTTTCCAGTACTTCAGAAGTAGATTCACTATGTCCAGTTTTGATTTTCTGATTTTCTTTTTTCTTTACAGGTAACCTGATAGCTAAAGACAAATCAAGTCACTATCAAGGCTGATAAAATTAAATACAACACGTGGGAATTTCATTCCTCCAGGCAATCCTTGAAGTGAAATTTTATACTGCTGGAGTGTATCCTTCAGAATCAATTGTTTCAATGAGAATCTATCTTGTAATCAGCAACAGCCTTGAGATCAAAACTACTGGAAAGTCATTTTGAACTTCTGTGTCACAAAGATTTCAACTGATTGAACTGTGTACACTTGTAAAATTGCACTTGCTGAGGAATTTGCAGCTGTAATCATGTGTTGATACTCTAAGGGTGCAGAAAAGCAGCAAACTGTTGGATTCTCCATTGCAGACCAGTGGCTTTTCATCTTGATGAAGTCAACCTCCAAGTTGTATTGGATCCTTCCCTCTAAAATGATCCCTGGTCCACTTTCAGATTGCTGGTGGTACTGCACATTGCTTTAATTAAATTTCTGTTGCAGAAATGGTCCTCTGGCATGGCGCAGTTTTAGACATTTTTATTTGTGTTCAAATCTTGCAGCTCTGAAAGATACATATTTCAATATCTTGAAGTTGCTTTTGTTATAGGAATGGAATTATATATCCATTGTTAATAATTATTGTTGACAAGTAATAGTTATCTGAATACACCAGTCATATTAGATTGTATAGTCAGGCTGACATGTTTGCCTAAGGCTAATCAGCCACTGCAACTTAACAGTTAAAAAAGTAGTGGTCAAAACTCAATTACCACCTCCATTATAAAGCATTTTATACCTCTAAGATATAGATTTCCATTTAGTTTGAAGGAGATGGGTGTTCCCAATGTGTACTTTACTTTCCTAACCTTTAATTGATTTAAGTTCATGGTAACCAGTCGATGACGGTATTTCATCTTTTTTTTCTCAGGGTAGGCAGGGATGTAAATGAGTTTTGCAATTATGAAATTGGATGGTAATCACTCAGAATTTTTGTCTTTTTATTAAAAAATAAAATCTCTTGCTTGAACCTAAGTACTGATGGATGCTTATGTAGATGTCTACTCAGTCTGTTTGCTATAAAGGAAAAAAGTCCTAGTGCCCACCCAGATTTATACTTCATGGGTATTTTGCTTGCTTACAGTCATCCAATTCAGATCTGATCCTTTCCAAAATTTCTTTTTTCTTTTTTTTGGTACTAATTTTTTTTAACTTTGTGATGTGCTGTTACATGAAAAAAATCCTCAATATTTAAAGGCCTTAAGCATCTCTGAGCTTGTTTCTAAGTTATTACAGAATGTATAATTTTATACTCCATTTAATATATATTGTACCATCTGTAATGTTGATACAACAGAAATTTGGCAGTTCCTTTTAGAAACACTGCATAAAGAAGCTGACCAGAGAGGGTAAGGGAATTCTGACTTTATGCTTTGGTGAATTGACATGAAAGCCACACACACAGTGGTAGTAAAAAGTATGTAGAAGTAAGCTTATGTGTGGTTACCAGATTCACAAAAAAACCTAAAAACAAACCACAAACCAAACAAGCAAAAAACCCCCCAAAAGACAAAAAAACCAAAACAAGACAGAAGAGGGAAAATATTTTATCATTACAAGCCATTGACATGGCTAGTTTAGTTATATATTAGGTTCCATGATAGATGAACACCCTGGAGTGCTCTGCCTGTCACAGTAGCCCCTGTTGTTCCAAAACCATTTCATTACCTCTGCTGTATTATTGCACAGGAGAGCTTAAATAAAATAAATGACTGTTGGGAATAAAATTGAGAAGTATATTCTATCATTCTGCTGAGAAGTAATAAAAAATTGTTGGCAGGAAAAGATCTTATTTTCTGATTAAAATTTAATTAGAATAAACTGTAGCAGCAACTAGGTATCTCAGTATTTTAGGATGGATTAGTATTGTATGGATTTGTGCTAACAAGTTCAGGACAGAAGGTAGCATCTTAAAGAGATCGTCTGGGACAGTGCAAAATATAAATGTGCTGTTTATAGACTCTGAATATGGCCTCTCTTTGGCCAAAAATCTATATCATGCTTCTAACTAAATGTTTTCTTTGTTTCCTTGTTCTTAAACCAATACTGAAAGTACTGTATTATATAGAAGTGTAACACATGCATATCAATAAATAAAAATAAATGGATTTTCAAATATATTGAACAGATTATCTGCAGTAATTAATGTTGTGACTATTCATAGCAAGTGAATAAAATTGTAATATAAAATAGAGTTCCCTGTATAGATGTGCACATTGGAGATCTATTCTGTTTATCCATGGAACAAAATAATTTTTTCTTGAATAAGAATCCCAAGCGTTATATTTCTTCAGTAGAGCAGGGAATATCTCCTACCACATTAAAAGGTCCTTTTTGAAAGGAAACTGATATCTAGCACAACTGTTCTAGCCTTGTTATGGCAAATTCTGGTGGGTGTACTGGCCTGTTGTCTTCAGGCCAGACGGAATAAAAATGTTTTTTTTCTTCACAAAATGTGAATCCTGAAATATTATCATTTAGACATTTTAAAAAGCAACAGGACATGGATGCTAAACATCCCTGAAAAAGTAATATTTCAGGTTAATTTGTTGAACTGTTTAAAAGAAAGGGAAAAAAATCCAATTTGACAGTGAACTCTGTGCACCTTGAAGCAAGCTGGGAACCACAGTTCAGCTATCCACAGTGCTGGTTTAGTGCTGCCTTTGAAAATGGAGAACAGGGGACTGGATCAGCCACAGGCATTCATATTGTAGGCATGTGAGGATGATTCTTGCTTTAATTACTCGTTTATTCCTTATATACTACTTTCTAGATTATTTCATCTGTTTACAAAAATGATCAGTCATTATGAGCAGAGGGAAATCCATGTTACCGTTTGAATTCAGTAATCATCAGGAACTCTGAACTGCAGAATATGCATTCCTGTTCCGCAGTTGTAAGTGGCAGTGCATTGAGAGGGAAAGAAAAATCACTGCTCTCTCATTGAATGTCTTGGATCAGTTCAACAAAACATAAAGGAAATCCTGATATGAATTTTAATGAAACAAAATTCCAATTCAGATCTAATAAATCTAAAATAAAGCTTAAAAACCATTCAAGTCTAGATCTTGGTGATATCTAGTTTATTGATCATAAGTGAATGCTAGCCTTTAAACCAACACTGCAACACAGAGTGCATCAGATACATTTGTTTTGAAATTAAAAACCTGCTATAAAGAATTTTATTTTGTTATGTTTCATAAAAATATATGCAGGGAATTTTTGCTCATTAAAATTGTACAGCTGGTTTTTATACCTTTCCAGGAAAGTCTATAAAAACAAAACAGAAATATGTGATTGGCATCCTTATCTGTTGATTTACTGCCTCCTCCTACATGCCTTGAATTTTACACATCTGTGGTTAACCAAGATATTGGCAAGGATATTGGAAAGGGAGTATAGTTTTGGTTTGTACAATAAGTATTGCCTAAATCTCTAGTTTCTTTCTGCCAATAGTTAGATAAGTCTGTGTCAAAAAATGTCACACCTGAACAATCCCATGGCATCAAATGATTTTTCAAGGATTCAGTGGTATTAAATTGAATAAGAAGAATTACCTAATCACTTTGTTTGTCTTTATAGTGCAGTTTGTAATCTAATAAACTTTTCTGTTTATTCTTTCATAGAATGAGAAAATATTTCCAGATGACAGTTTTGATCTTGTTTCTGGAAGAGGTTATGTAACTTTCTGATATCACTTTACAGAGAGTCACTGCACATATTTTAGTTGGTTTTGTATCTTCTGTATTCATCTGTACTGCTTGTGTGGTAATTAGAAGAGGTAGTATATGAAAAGGCTGCATTTCCCACAACTTTTTTTTGACACATTTACAGGATTACAAGTGTTGTCAATGTCTCTTAATCTAAAAGTAACGTAAGACCATCTGGAAGAAAGGCCACTAATGGTGACATGGGAAACTCTTGTATAAGGGAATGACAGTTCTTTCTCAGATTACTGTGAGTGGGATGCCAGACAAGTCAAAACCATTGTAGTATGGTTTCACAGCCAGAGATGTAGGTTCTAGGGAAGTGAATCCAGCATGTGAGCACTGGGGTACAGTCAGCATCCCGAAGCTGATCTTTATTTTCACTCCCTCCTTGCTAGTATACAGGTAATTCTGTGCGGCAATGGGAAGTGATATCCAATTATTCCTTGGTAGTAGATTCTCTTGATTAAATATCACTAATTCCATCAATATTATTTTTCAATCAAAAATGATTGAAAGACTTGAAATATATCTGGCTTTCAGTTCTGAAAACCAATTTATTACCCAACTGAATTAAATAAATAGTTTGTATAATAGAAATATTATTGCTTATATGTAACCCTAACTGTAAAAGTTCTGTATTAGCTCTTTAAATTATGTTTACATTCATATCTTTAAAATTAGGTTTAGATCATCTATAACAGCAGGGACATTCTTGTTCCCCCCGCTAAAACACTGAAGGAACCTAGCAACACTGTAGTTTGGGATTTATGGCTTTGCTTTCACTGCTTCAACTGCACAGCTGGGAAAAAAGTGTATAAAAATGCTTATGTTACTCACATTGCTGAGAAATTTTTCTTGAGTATGAGGAATATGTGGAGTTGAAAATTTACCCCGTATCAGCATATGGGTTGAATCTCTTGAACTCTTTTCTTCTTACTGTCATAACAAACATGACAGAAACTGTACTTGAATTCTCCAGCCTTGTGTCTTAGTATTTAAAACTAATATTCAGAACTTACAAAATATATGCTACTTATTTTAGTTGCTGTGTCCTCACATAAAGGAATTTTTTTAGTCTGTTTCTCTCTTTATAATTAATTATGAATGCCTTGTCCTATTTGGGTGTGGAGAATATAACCCTTCCTTTTACTGATTTAGAGTTTCTGTCTCTTTTTTGTTGTTGTTCTTTCTACTTTTCTTTGGTCATTTTCTCTTTTCCTGGGATCCAGACAGTTCTTACAAAACTTTAGTAGTGATGAGAAAAGACTTTTAATACATAGTGGCTTGGAACTGAACACAGGCTCTTAGCAGTTCTTGGAGAGAAGAGAGGGAGATGTGTTTCTATGATTTTATCTTAAAATAGTTTCCAGTTTAAACTATTCTTTCTAAAGAGAAGCATTTTTTCCTAAGTATAAATGGACTGTGTTTCAATATGCTCTCTGATCATAAAGCTGATGAAATGGTCCTCTCTGTATGGCAGATTACTTCAGCAGAATTTACAAATGGGAGATGATGATTTTGCTAATGTCCATAGGCAGGTAGACAGAATTTGGTCCCAGATGCTCTGCCTAATGTTCATGGCAAAAATGACTCAAAAACAATGCCTCCATATGCCATAATTGCTGGAATTATTTCTCAGGCATATTCCCTTGTCATCCCTCATATGTAGAACTCATTAGATTCCTAGTGGGAGAACATATGGAGAAGAGAGATGATGGAAAACATTATAAAACAGATTGCGTATTTAAATTTATATTATAGAAGACCTCTGTGCACAGGCAAACTTAGCAGAGAAAGTTCAAACTCTTTCTTTCCACTTCATAAGGATATCAATATTTATGGAGCTGTTATCTCAGTGCATTCAAATCCACTTATATGGGTTAAAACCTGACATTAGGGATAATAGTGGGAATTTTGCTGCTAATTTGAGGTCAACTCTGTATTCCCTTAATTATTTTTCCAAATATTCAGTTCAACTATAACTGTCTAAGATCTTTCCACTAATAGGAATGACCAGAAGTCAAACTTCCACCTATATAAGTCTGATGGCAGGATCAGGCCTTTTGCTATGTATTTGTGATTTCAGTGTCAACATAATGACTTTGATGAATACCTTGTTTGTGTTTCACAAAAAAAGTGATAACATTTCTTTCATTCATCTTAGCTGACTAATGAATGGGGATCATATCTAGTGCAGAGCTGTTTTAATGACTTCTAAATATTAAAAGTTAATTATTTATCCTTTATATTATAGTTAAAAAACACAAAAATAAGGTAGTCATACATGAATTTAAAGTATTATACACTGATGTTCGGGATGCTTTTTTGGTTACACTTAGGACTCTTTCCTGGTTTATGATAATTTTTTTTTTTTTTTTCCCCTCGATACTGATCATGAAGCTGGTTTCAACAGGGAGCATTTGGGGTACTATAAAGCATCTAGTAGTGAAGGTGGGTACTAGCATAAGCTACCCACTGGATAAGGTGGGAGGTGGATAGACTGTGTCTGGGAACACTATGGCTTTACTGCAGTGGCTGGTGAAATATGGCCTATCACTTAGGCAAAGTGTAGAAAGTGTTTCTAGAAAAACAGTTCTGCAGACATTGTTGCCCTGCTCCCAAAGAAATGGTTCTGGCAGGGTGTCGCTTATTGCATGGAGCAGAATCAAATGTCATACCTAAATAAATACTGGAAGGACACAGAGAAACAGTGTGGACATCTATTATGGTGTGGCTCTACAGGCCTTAAAAATGTCAGATATGTTTGTAGAATGTCCATCTAGGTCACTACCTTTTTAAAACGAGACACAAAATGGCTGTTTAGGTAGCGTTTGCAATATTTGTGGGAAATATTTGCATATTTGTGGGAAAATATGCCTGCCTGAAGCCAAGATTTGGTGTCATGTTGTGAGAGGGGGCCTCCAGAAGTTCACATCTGATGCTGCTCCTTTACTGCTGGAAATGGATCGTGTTATACTGTTCTTCTAAGACAGAGTAGTGCAGAATACTGCTGACAGGCTGTACCACTTGTCCTGCATCTTTCTGAGAAGAATGGTTGCTCTGGCAAGCCTTGGCAGGAAGTAAAACATGCATTACCATACAAACTTTTGTCTTGATACTGACAACCATGATTGTTCTCTGTGTTGGTTTTTTTTTCCGACAGCTACAGGATAAATATTTATTATTAGGTGAAAATTTAAAATTTGTTATTTTGCACCAGTCTGAACAATGCACTTATTTGTTTATCCCCTTAAAATTTACTCATTTGTGCTATAAATGTATTAGCCGATCTGTCTGCTACTGTTGGCACCTTTTAAAATAGTGTCATCAGCTAGTACTTTTTCAGTCACTGCAGAGAAATGCTCTTTAGGTGGTAAGTCTTTCATCAGCATCTTGTGGTTTTTCCATTCTGTCA